CTCTCCGTCGTGCTTACGAAGTTTTCCTAGGATGTTATTATTTGGAAACTGAAGTCCACATGATGTAAACCATAGAACTTTCGTTTGCGTTGCAGTGTACTCAATACAGCTTGCTAAAGCTTAGGGATGAGAGGCCATTTTTAACTGATAAACAGTCAAGGCATAAGAATGGACAAGTTTTGCCCTCACATTTTGCTAGAGAAATGTAATTTCGAGCGTGCCGGATTTCGCAAAACAGATTCTCCTTGCACTGGCACCAATTATCTCGATCTGAAAACATTGCTGCAATGGTACTTAATTTGGTTCTAAAGTTCGCCACCTCAAAAACGCAATTGAATAGTAGTTGCAAAAATATACCAGTGAGCACGCCAGCTGAGACAAATGATTTGTAGACTATTGGGCGATAATGCTTTGCGGTGGGGTTTATAACTTTATTCCAGGCTTTAACCCCGGTAAAAAAACAGCACTTAATTTCGCTTTCCGTTTGTCTTGCCAAGGCCACAACCGTGATTGTCGCCCAAGTGATGCGGGATGCTTCAGTTTTCCCACCTACACTTCTGACGGATTAGGTTAATGCGGTGTCGGAATGTGTTAGAAGAGTATGGAAAACTTAGATGGCTACTTACCGCAACTCCTGTCCGCACTTCCACGTTCACTTCAAAATAGCACAGCAAACAACCGACAGGGCCAATGTGTGCCTGGAAATTGCAGACAGTCGCGATTTCCACAGTTGGATAAACCAAATGTTTTTTAAAAATTGCTTTGAGGAATGAACTCTCAGACAACGTCATTCATTCACAAGGTCTCTCTGCATAAGGAAAAATGACTATCTGTTACTGGCAACAACTTTGAGTGGCGGAGGTATATTTTTCAGACAGGTTGAAACGCTAAGAAGTAAAAACACAACTTTCGGATTTTAAGCTACCGAAATAAAAAAAAAGGAACGCTAGTCATAAAATACTCAGGTTCCTGTCAAACCCTCTAAACCGTGTAGAGTCCTCTGGAACTCAACAGCTTAAAAATTAAAGAAATGCGTGTTGGCCAATCAGTAATCGCAGTTTGAAAAGTTTTGGGATAAGCCGAACTTTAAAAAGAATGCACCTGCTTGTTTTCCCAGTGTAAAGGATGACCTTTATGGGTCTATCGCAAAATTTAAATAAAGTACTATTTATGCGAGTTGATAACAATTTCCGTTTAGTGATTATTTCAAAGTGAAAAGTTGTTTAAGTCCCCTTTTAAAAGAATTTTTTCATTATGGACATGAGAACTTGGCCGATTCCTAAATTACTTGTATTTGCCTGCCCCATGTACTACGGAACCGAAGGTGTACTGTGGGCATACTGCCACCAAAGATCAATTTTTAAAGAGCATAACTTTTTTACAAATTTATATTCCTATTAGATTGCAGGATTTTGCAACGTTGAACTAACGTATTGAATGAAATTATCCTTTTTAGATTATATCATTCATACAAGTTTCCTTTTTCCTTTATCTGCATAGCTTAAGCGCACTCTATAGTTCTTTTTTTCAGATAAGCAAATAAGCAATAAAAAACAATGGGAACAATGTTGTGGAACAGAAAGACCTGGGAGTCCTTATGACCTCCTCGCTGAAACCATCTTCACAGTGTCAAAGGGCAGCCAAAAGTGCGATAAGGGTGTTATTTGCGCTGAGGCGAGGATTTGTGCAGATCGACAAGGAGCTGTTCGGCAAAACCTATGGGGCATTCGTCCGGTCTCACTTAGAGTATGCAGTCCAGGCCTGGCGACCGTGGTTAAAGAAAGATTATCAACGACTGGAAAGAGTACAGGCGATGGCTACGAAGATGGTCAAGAATCTTCATCATTTGCCTTACGAAACCAGGCTGACTGAACTAAATCTGTTTCCTCTAAATTACAGGCAACTGCGCGGCGATCTCATTCAAACCTACAGGATTGTCAGAAGCCGTGAGTGTGCCCTAGATTTTGATGACTTCTTTGAATTGGCCCGGACTGACCGTCTGCGTGGTCATCCGTTCAAACTGCAAAGGAAGCGGGCTCATTCGGACGTCCGACGGAACGCCTTCTCACACAGGGTCATCGGGGCATGGAATGGACTCCCTGATGCCGTCGTTCTTTCCGAAAGTGTTAAATCCTTTAAGTGCAGACTAGACGCTCACTTATTGAGAACCTACTGTACATACAATCATGATTGTTTTAGCGGCGGCAGTTTGCGCCTGGCTCACAGTTACCGCTAACTTCTTAACGTTTCGCATTTGCTGATGTAATTGATGACTTTATTTCTGTTTATCGACATGAATAGGGTGCTCAAGGGCGAAAGCCTCATTCCCTTAATAAACTGACTTAAACTGACTTAAACAACTAAGTGATAAGTCACGGCCTTTGATGTGTCTTGACCGAGTGTTTCACTGTCATTATTGAAATGCGCGGGTATGCATTACAAGGGCTATTGCGAAACTTTATACGCAGTTTTCAATAAAAAGACAGAAATGCAAAAACCAAAGAGTCAGGCTCAGACAGTTTCGTAAATTTAAAGTTAACTTTCGGCTTATTCATGCACTTTTCCTGTTGGCTACCAAAGGCAACAAAGATGATAATTAGGTGACCAATCAAAACTTGGTAAAAAAACTGAGTGCTCATAGGCTACCTTGCCCCATATTAATAATTAGGGAGAAGAACTAGAACTCAGAAGTCAGAAAATGGGTTTGCCGATAAAATGTTTCTTGTGTTCAGATATAGACTTTCGATGTCTCCATCTGATGGCCTTATTTTACACCGCCATTTCCGCGCAGTCACTTTTTACGGATCTCCCTGCGACGCCGTTCAGAATATCCTTTCGTCGAGAGGGCCCGCCCATCAACCGACTCCTACTTTCAGCTGTGAATTTAGGACCATTAATTTCAGATAAAACGCAATTTTTGTGGTACTGCAGCCCTAACAGGGAACCGCCAGTATGGATGCTCTGGGATATGGGACGCCAAATTTCGATAACGGAGGAGGGAGAAAAGAAGTGCTCACTCTTTAATCTGACAGTCCTCCATCCAAATGGTGATCAGGCGTCGGTTTCCCGACTGCTGCACAGAAAGAACAAACTGGCGGCACAAGCGTATGTCAACGGTGCTGTTCTAGATACTCAAAATCCTGTCTTGAATCTGCCATTGCGGGAGACTGATCGTTTTTCTTTTGAGTGCACATTTTACGGAAGACCAACGAAAATTCAGATATTGTTTCCACAAGACGTAAAATGTCTGGGACAGGCAAAACAGATTAGTGATGATACAATCACAGTTGGATGTGGAAATTTGACATTTAAGGACGGGTACTACGGCTGTCGAGGAAGGAACCAACGACAACAGTCCAAACTGCTCATCAGGCTAAAATCAATCTACGGAAAAACATCAGCAGCTAATGCATATATTTTCAGACTTGACTCCACAAGTGCAATAAGTATATGGCTTAGTATTGTTCTATTTTACCCAAAGGCCTTTTAATAAGTAAACATTAAAAGCGAGTTCTAAGTGTTATGGGTAAACAATGCACAGCGATGAGATAACTCAACAAGGACAGCAAAGTGCATGGATAGACATGGAGTACTCGAACAAAAACTATACGGTGGGGTCATTTTTGGTATACAAACGAACCAGATGGAGGAAATGGGCATCCGGTGTATAAAATAGACTGCAGTGCTAGTTATTCAAGTATTAAGATCACGTGACTAAACCTATTTTGTTGTGGTAGCCAGCCCGTACTACAGAGCCCTTCCGCCTCGATCATCCTTCTTCCCTCCTTCCGCCGCCTCTAATCCCAACAACACCCTACGTGTCTGAGTTATTTCCCACATTATTTAGTCAGTTCTACATGTCTTTGCACATGCCGACATTAGTTTTACTCCGTAGTCGATTAATTCATAGATGTCGAGCCCAGTCATTTCTTTTCTTCTGAAAATATCTATTTCGCACCAATTGCTTCCGCCCAGACCAAAAACTTGTACTTTCTTCCAAAGTGGGCTAAATGGACGTTTTTTCGTCATTAAGAAAGCTGAGTGGGCAGAAGACCAAAATGTGCATATTTCGGCATGGGAGTGCACAGGTACCGTTCTAAAGTCGTTTGTTAGAAATAAACTTTGAGCAGCATGCTGACCAAGAAACATGAATAAAAATAATCATTTGCGAAAGAGTAAACTT